ACTAGCTTCCTCCTCTACAGGATGAGGACTAAATAAAGTTCTCCTCTAGGTCTGACTATGAGAACTGTCACCAAATACCAGCAACCACCACTGGCCTGGTGTTCTGATAGACAAGTCCCTTCCTTCCTCTTTGGTGGTTGAGTGTGTTGGCTTTGGAGAAAGACTCTGTCACTGCTAACTGTGTGACCTCACACAGGTTAATTAGCCTCTCTGTGAACTGGGACTGCCCACCCCAAAGGCTTGTTCTGAGGATTCAGTGAAATAATGCATGTCTGACACTTAGTATAGAATAGCGGTGATCGTGCACATTTGGGCTACTCCACTTACATGTATGGGTTTAGCCCTTTATCTACGCTTCCTTTTGGCCAGTTACCAGGGTGAATGAGCTGAGAAAACACAGGCTTTCAGAAGCAGACAGAGTCAAAGATCAAGTTACTCTGGGTTTACCAAGGGCTGGGCTTATACTAAGCTCCAGGGCCTCCACCTGGCCTTGGTGCTGCTGCCTGGCCCTGACAGTAGGGGCTGGTGCCTCCTGCCCCAGCCCAAGGACAGAGAGGATCAACAGCACCTCAGGGCCCTATTTTGACACTGACCTTGAGCAGTTTTGTACCTCACACTGTTGTTTCCACACCCACGGGATTTTTCTCTCTCCATTTCTCACCTCTGCCTCCAGCCTGCCCACGCATCTTTAAAATCCCTTTCTGGGTTAACGTGTCCTAGTGACCTTCCACCCACACCCATGAATGTCCTCCAACACATTTAAAAAAGAGAACCAGAGTGAGGCACGAGGCAGGTGGGGAAGACCCTACTTCCTAGGATCGGGGAGGTAGCAGGAGGGGAAAGGAGCCTCTTTCCCAAGAAGTAGAGGTAGAAGCTCCTCCCAGGCCTCAGCTCTTCTCTGCAATGAGAGGAGGGGCTTGAGGGAGCAGCCAGTTATATCACATACTATCAGTGAGAGAAGGTAAAATTCAGCCATATTCCCAGCCCTCCTGCTCACATGGCCAGGAGCAGATTCGGATAGGAGACAGTTGAAAAGAACTGAGCTCTGGATCAATGAAATTAAAATATTGACATGGCTTTATAATAGAATGAAATAGACATCTTAAGTATTATTTAATGTGACAGAGGACATAGAAATAACGAATTTGATTTTATGTGATACAGATAGATTTTCTTCACAGATAGCAGCAGGAAGCAAAGGCGACTCCTGGCTGAAAAGCTGTATGTGTATTTGCCTCAAGGCGCGTTGAGTAATTAGCCCAACTCTGACACTGAAGAAAACATAACTCTGTGATCACTATATTAGAAAGTAATTTTTTAAAATTATTGTGATTGAATTTTTATCAAGTTGCTTACATGAGAATGTGTGATTCTTTAGGTTGTGGGTTAATTATTTATTTCGATTTATAAAACTCATTTTTTTTTATGTTTTAACATTGATGGTCAATGAACAAAACGTTACCCTACCACCAATGTTAAACTCTTGCCATTTTGTCCAAGATCGTGTTTAACAGATCAAAATAATGTACTATTGGGCAAAACAGTGGCATAACTTCTTTAGTAATCATCTTTACCTGGGGACCTAAACTTCCAGTGATTTGGAGAATCCCTTCCTTCTTTATGTAACTAGGGGGATGATATGGTTCTAATAAAGATTCTATGGGAGTGTAACTCAAAACAACAACAACAAAAAGACCAGGCGCCGAGGGGACCGACTTGGGTCATGTTGCCAATTTTGAACAAATCTCCGAAGCCAGAGAATAAGATGTCTGGTTGGCTCAGGCCCCGCTCACGTGTTCCTCCCCTGGAGCTGAGATGGCATCAGCTGACTCTCTCCTCCTCCCACAGCAACTATTTCAAATCCTCCTGGTCTCCTCAGACCTTCCTACACTCTCCTCCCACCCCTCAACCCTTCATCTCCCACTCCGAGGAGAAATCAGAAGCCGGGGGCAGCAGCTCCCTCGACCTGCTGTCTCCTCCTCCCCTCCACCTGTGATTAGCGACTTCTCCCACCTTCCTGGGAAAATAGAAAAGGTGCCCCCTCCGCTCCCAGGCCAATCCCCGTGTGCCCCTCCTTCTCAAGAGCCTTGAACTATTCCGTTTCTGTTTCCTTCCTACTGACTCCTAGTTCCCATCCATGCATCCCTCTAATCGCGCAGCCAACAATTATTTATGGATCACGTATGTGCCAGGATCACAACATCCAACAACACATTCCTTCTCCAGCTACTGGCCTTTCTCTTCAAAGTCAAACTGCCTCGAATAGTTGCCTAAACTCCCTTTTGTAATTCACTTAATTTGTTTAATTCATTCTAGGCCCATATCTGTTAGGATTAAGTTAGGACACACACAAAAGAATAAAAAGTAACAGTGCCTTAACCAACATGAGAAGGTTATGCCTAATAAACAAAATCCAGAGGTAGGCTGTCTAGTTGGCTACTGTGGTGGCTCTGCTGTTGCCGGGAAGCCAGGCTTCTCTCCTGCTTTGCCCTGTTCAACTTCACGGCTTCCACCTCCTGGTCCAGGATGGTCGCTCAAGCTCTCTGGCCAAGGGGAAGGCGGAAGGGCCAACTCCTCCCTTAAAGGATGCTTCTGGGAAGTCACAGGACATTTCTGCATATATCCAACACTTCACCCCAGGACCACGCACAGGAAACTGGAAAACGTAGTTTTTATTCAAGGACACTATGTGTCTAACAAAAAACTTGGAGTTCTATTGCTGGCAAAGAAAGGGAAGAATGGCAGTTGGAAGACAAGTACAGGTCTCTGCCACGCCACCAGTGATCTGATTTTTATCATCACCCCTTCCTTGCAACTGCTCTTGCCAGGATCGGCACAATCTCTCTGTCTCTGAGTCCAGTGGACGCTGCTGAGCGTTCATTTACTTGGCACCTTGTCAGCAACTGAACAGATGACCGCAGCCTTCTCCTCGAAGCTCCCTTTCTTTCCTCTCTCCTTCCAGGGTGGAGCTCTTTGTGGTTTTCCTCCTCTTTCTCTGGCTGCTTTTGAGAGTTCCCTTTTCTAGTTCCTCCTCCTGCATCCAGCCTGTGAGCACTGCAGTTGCTCAGGGCTCTGTTTGGCTTCATCTCCGTTCACTCCACATTTTTCCTGGATAATTGCATATGTTCCCACAGCTCTAGTCATTGTTTGCCAAGTCCATGGCTTGAAACTCTGAGCTCTTGTCTGCACGCAGGGGTCTCAGGCTTACAAGTTCAACAGGGCAAACAGAACCTGTCTCCCTCTCCTCCTCCCGTGCTGACTCCTCATAGGGGCGGGAGAGGTGCTGTCTCAATAGACGCTATTGCCAAATAGCCAGTTGCTTGAGCCAGAAATTCAGGAGCTCCTCTCTCTCCCCCTACAAATCTGGTTAATTATCAACAGCTGTCAATCTGAACTGCTCTTGGTCTACCTGCTCCCACCTACCACAGTCCACATCTCTCATCAGCTCCTTTGTTATTTGGTCAAGTGGCCCTCAGATAAAAAACCACTTCATCCAGATTTTGATATCTTTGCTCAAAAGATATCAAAAGCTGAAAGGAAAAAATTAATGAAGCTTGATCAGATGTCCCTTTTAAGCTCTAACACTTTATGAACTAAATCCAAGGCTATGTGTTGCAAGGAAAGACACAATTTAACATTTTTAACTTTCCAGGTTTCCTACCCCAGGCTCTGTACTCCCAAAGTTCTGCTTCAACCTTGTCCAGATACTCCCAGCAATTCTGTTTAAAGACGACTCTCACAGGCAGTAAAATAACAAGAAGGATTCAAAGGCCGAAGACTGTAAGTAATGATAAGTTTGATTGTATGTACAAAATAATGAAAAATTTAAATCTGGTGTTATGGTTTTAGGGTCTCTGCAAACTGACATTAGACAAAGTACATATCTGGACTTACCTAGGTGCTTTGAATCCGGATAACAAAATTCTGATGTTGAAATAAGTAAGCTCAATAACAGCACCTTCTTAATTACAAGTCAATAAAAGGTGTGGAAGTCAGTACCAACACCTCGCTATGTTCGATCTCTAAATTTCTTCCTTTCTTTCCAATCATTCAGAACACTGGTTCTCAACCTTCCTAATGCCGTGACCCTTTAATACAGTTCCTCATGTTGGGGAGACCCCCAACCATAAAATTATTTTCATTGCTACTTCATAACTGTAATTTTGCTACTGTTATAAATCTTAATATAAATATCTGATATGCAGGATGTATTTAGGTGGCCCCTCTGAAAGGGTCATCCAACCCCCAAGGGGTTGCGACCCACAGGTTGAGAACTGCTGATCTAGAATAAATAATTGGCAGTATCGGATCCCTTATCTGAGTTCCTGACAGAGCAAAACTTGTTTCAGAAGTCATTTTATTATTATTGTTGTTGTTCTTATTATATTAGAGACAGAATCTCACTTTGTCATTTAGACTTGAGTGCAGTAATGCGATCATAGGTCACTGTAATCTCAAATTCCCGGGTTCAGGTGCTCCCCTTGCCTCTGCCTCCTGAGTAGCTAGGAAAACAGGCAGCCACCACCATGCCTGGCTTATTTTTCTCTTTTTGGTAGA